TAGTATAAAAATGGACTAATACGCTGCCTTTGCTGTATCCCAGAGGTTTTGATAAGGTGTGTCAGTATTATTGTTCAGTTCAAAGAATGTTTTAATTTTCATCTTGATTTCATTTTTGACCCAATGATCATTCAAGAGCAAGTTATTTAATTTCCATATATTTCCGTGGTCTTGAAGGTTCTGTTTGGAGTCAATTTTCAATTTTATTCCACTGTTGTCTGAGAGAGTACTTGATGTAATTTCAATTTTCTTAAATTTATTGAGACCTGTTTTGTGGCCTTTCATATGGTCTATCTTGGAGAATGTTCTATGTGCTGATGATTCTGCAGTTATTGGGTGGAATGTTGTATAAATATTTGTTAAGTCATTTATTCTAGGGTATAGTTTAAGTCTACTGTTTCTTTATTGACTTTATTTTTATGACCTGTCTAGTGCTTTCAGTGGAGTGTTGAGGTCCACCACTATTACAGTGTTGCTGTCTATCTCATTTCTTAGGTCTAGTGGTAATGTTTTATAAATTTGGGAGCTCCAGTGTTAGGTGTGTATGTATTTAGGATTGTGATATTTTCCTGGACAAGTCCTTTTATCATTATATAACGTCCCTCTTTGTCTTTTTCAACTGCTGTTGCTTTAAATTTTGTTTTGTCTGATATAAGAATAACTATTCCTCCTTGCTTTTCATGTCCACTTGCATGGAATATCTTTTTGCACACCTTCATCTTAAGTTTATGTGAGTCCCTATGTGTTTGGTGAGTCTCTTAAAGACAGCAGATACTTGGTTGATGAATTCTTACCCATCTGTATCTTTTAAGTGAAGCATTTAGGCCATTTATATTCAAAGTTAGTATTGAGATGTGAGGTACTATTTGATTCATTGTGCTAGCCGTTGACCGAATACCTTGGGTTTTTTAAATTGTTTTATTGTTTCCTGGGTCTTGTGAGATTTATGCTTTAAAGAGATTCTGTTTTGGAGTATTTCAAGGATTTGTTTCAAGATTTAGAGCTCCTTTTAGCAGTTCTTGTAGTTCTGGCTTGGCAATGGCACATTCTTTGAGCATTTGTTTACCTGAAAACAACTGTTTATTTCCTTCATTCATGAAGCTTAGTTTTGCTAGATACAAAATTCTTAATTTACAATTCTCTTGTTTAAGGAGGCTAAAGATAGGACCCCAGTCTCTTCTAGCTTGTAAGGTTCCTGCTAATAAATCTGATGTTAATCTGATAGGTTTTCTTTTATAGGTTACCTAATGCTTTTGCCTCACAACTCCTAAGATTTTTTTTTCTTCATCTTGACTGTAGATAATCTGATGACTATGTGTCTAGGTGGTGATCTGTTGGTGATGAATTTCCTGTGTGTGTGTGTGTGTGTGTATGTGTGTGTGTGTTTAGTTACTTGTATTTGGATGTCTAGATCTTTATCAGTCAGGGAAGTTTTCTTTGATTGTTCTCTCAAATACGTTTTCCAAACTTTTAGAATTCTTTTCTTCCTTGGGAACAGCAATTATTCTTAGGTTTGGTTGTTTAACATAATCCCAAACTTCTTGGAGGCTTCATTCATTTTTTTAAATTCTTGTTTCTTTATTTTGGTCAAATTGGGTTAATTCAGAAGTCTTGTTTTTGATTTTTGAAGTTCTTTCTTCTGCTTGTTTGATTTTATTGTTGAGACTTTCCAGTGTATTTTGGATTTATCTCAGTGTGTCCTTCATTTCCAGAAGTTGTGATTTTTTTTTTTTATGTATGTTATCTATTTCTCTGGAGACTCATCCATCCCTATCTTTTAACTTTTTTTATTTCTTCAAGTTAGTATTCACCTTTCTCTAGTGTCTTCTTGAGTAGTTTAATAATCGACTTTCTGAATTCTTTTTCTGGCAATTCAGAAATTTCTTCTGGGTTTGAATCCATTGCTGATGAGCTAATGCGACCTTCTGGGGGTGTTAAAGAGCCCTGTTTTGTGTCACCAGAATTATTTTTCCGATCCCTTCTCATTTGAGTAGATTATGTCAGAGGGAAGATCTAGGGCTCAAGGGCTGTCATTCAAATCTTTCATCCCATGGGATGCTGTCCCTTGATGTGGTGCTCTTCCCATTTTCCCTAAGGATGGGGCTTCCTGAGAGCCAAATTGCAGTGATGGTTATTTCTCTTCTAGGTCTAGCCACCCAATGGAGCTACTGGCTGAAGATGGATCATATCACAGAACTCTTTGCAGACAATCCCTAGTGCCAGGGAGCCTCACAGAGGACACTCACAGAGTCCTGTGATATGATCCATCTTCAGGTTCCTCAGCTGTCGGTACCAGCACCTACTCTGGTAGAGGTAGCAGGAGTGTAAAGTAGACTCTGTGAGGGTTCTTAGTTATAGTTTTGTTTAGTGGGCTGGTGTAGTGTTGGTTAGCCTCCACCCAGGAGGTGGCCCTTTCAAGAAAGTACCAGCTGTGGTAGTATAGGGAGAATACAAGCTTACCCTGGGGTCACCTGGATAAGTATTTGGCTTTCTCAGGCAGTGGGTGGGACCATAGAGCTCCCAAGAGATTATGTCTTTTGTCTTCATGTACTGGGATGAGTAGAGAAAGACCATCAGGTTGGGGGAGGTTTAGATGTGTCTGAGCTCAGAGTCTCCTTGGGCAGGGTTTGCTGCAGCTGCTGAGGCGGATAGAGGTTCTCAGGCCAATGGAGTTATAATCCCAGGGGGATTATAGCTCCCTCTGCTGTGTCCTACAGGTCACCAGAGAGTGTGGTAAAGCCAGCAGTGACAGGCCTCACCCAGTTCCCAGGCAGCTTGAAAGGCCAGTCTCACTCCCACCATGCCCATCCCCCAACAGCATTGAGTTAATTTCCAGGAAGCCAGTGAGCAGGGCTGAGATCTTGCCTCAGGCCACAGGCCTCCGTGCTTAAAAAGCAAGTAGGGCTTTCAGGTTTCATACCTCTCAGCCTGCCAGGGCTTCTGTGCTTTGTCTGCATTTCCTCTTCTTCCCCTCCCCCAGACTCTGTCCAGGAAACTTCATGTTCAGTTGAAATTGTTACAAAGTTCTGCTGAAAGTTTCCTTCTCCCCGTGGTCTATCCCCAATTCCACTGGTAGCCCTCACCAAGGACTCCTGCATGACAAAGTCAGAAATGGCTTCCCTGGGGACTGAGAGTACCCACAGGACTCTTCCTGCTGTTTCTCCTACCCCTTGTATTTTGCTCAGTTCTCTAAATTCATCCCAGCTTCAGGTGAGGTAAAGTCCTTCTCCTGTAATCTAAACCTGCAGGTTTCCCAGTGAGGATGTGTGTTTGGGGGTGGACATGCCCCCTCTCACACTTTGGGCACTCAGTTTTTCAGTTGTTTCACAGACTGCAGCAGCAAACTGTCTCTTTCAGTGGGTCTGTGGCACATTCGTCCACAGAAACAACCTGGGCTTTGGGAGGAATCCTCAGGGCAGGGGTGATCTGCTCCAGAAAAGAGCTGATCCAAGGAAATGGTTGGTGTTTGGCAAAGTTTTTACTAAAGCCCAGACTCCCTCTAGTGGGCAGACAGAGCAGGACAGCATCCTTACAGGGTGTGTGCTCTTTGGGGTTAAATGTCTTTTGGAATCAAGATTGTTCCTGTTTCCTTTTTTTCTTGTTTCTTTTTCTCTTTCTTTCCTTTTTTCTTCCTTTCCTCTTTCTTTCTTTTTCTTTCTTTCTCTTTGCTTTTTTTAAGTGTTTCTTATCTCCTAAGATAAGAAACACTTGGATTATCTTTATAGCTTGAAGGTTGGATTCTCTTTATCGCTAAAGATGGGAGTTCTGTAGTGCTCCAGGAGTGAGGACGATTATGCTTAAGATGCTTTTGCTTCAGTTTAGTCCCAGACCCAGTGAAAAACATTTCAAATTTTTAAAGTAAATCCTTAAAAGTGTAATTTACACCAGAGCAATTGACCTGGCATTTACATAGACTGCAGCTTGAGAAGTAATACAAATGCTTTTCATTCATTCCCTTAGAAAAGTCCTTAGAATGTACTTCCATTGGTCTGAAAAACACCTGAAAAAGAGTTCTGATACAAACCATAGTGGAAATAGGGGGGCTGATGGTTCACGATCAGCTCAGTAGTATCCTCTGTCCTATCTGCATCTAGGCAAAGAGACCATGGGCTGTATGTGATCAAATAATTTGTTGAAGCGCTTTGGGCCTAGGGCATTTAATTACTGTGACGTAGGCCCACCACTTATTTGGTCTGTTTTTGTGTCACGTCTCAGAAAACATTGAAGTAGGGGCAACCCCTGAACCCAGACTTCTGCCATGTGAAGCCACTTTGAACATCCTGACAATCACAGACATCACATAAGTGATCAGCTAATTAAAGAAAGGAGGCCGAGCTGCCCTTTATGTATCCAATAAGTATACATCATATGACTTAAGCATGAAAAAAGGCCACTGTTATTACTTTTAGGAAGGAAAATAAGCAGGGTATCGCATATTTTTAGAACCATTCCTCACCAAATGGAACAATTTCAGTGATAAAGTGGGAGTGAGAAAAGAAGAAAAAAAAACCTTCTAATAATGTTTGGGAATAAGAAAGAAAGAGGAAACGCACGTCAAAGCCCACTTTCTCCTGCAGGTGTAATATAAAGGGTTAAGACCGTTTCCTGCTGAAATTTTGGGGAGGAAAACGGAAGCTGGCGCGCGGGCTTTGCAGGCCTCCCAGCTCTGCCTCGCGGTGCGGGAGCGCCTGGGTTCAGCACCTCGGAAAGCGCCTCTCCCTACGCCCCGGGATTACGCATGCTCCTTGAGGCCCACCGCCGCAGCCGTGCAAGTGCCACTGTAACTGGTGGGCGCCGCTGGCAACCCACCCGGAGTTGACAACCGCGGAGAGACGCAGACACCCACTGACCTCCAGGCAGCAGAGCGAGGTGGACAGAACCCTAGGATATCTTTCTTTCCAAGGACGGAAACCTCGTCTAAGCAGTCCCAGAGGAATCAGCCAAAGGTATTTGAAAGAGAGCGAGCGGCTCCAAATCGCACTGTTGAGCGGCTGGGTGAGTTATGCGCCAGTGCCCCAGTGACCGTGGGACACGGAGAGGGGAAGTCTGCGTTGTACATAAGAACCTAGGGACTCCGAGCTTGGCCTGAGAACGCTTGGACGCCCAGTACTTGCCTTTGGGGCTGCGCTCCTCAAATCTCCTCCAAAGCAGCCGCGGAGCTCAACTCCTGAGTACACCGCGGTTGGTTCGCTGTGCGCCAGGACGTGCTTAGTACCCGGTTCCTGAGCTCTATCTTCAGCAGCTACTTTGAAAGCTCCCGCGCATGCCCCGCAGGCTAGCTAGCCTGGGAACAAAATCGGGCGAACCCTGTTCTCTTAGGTCTTGTCCCCCGGAACATGACCTAGAGGTACCTGCGCACGCAGATGGCCGATGCAGCCCCGATAGCCACCATGAATAAGGCAGCAGGCGGGGCCAGGCTAGCAGAACTCGTCAGTCTGGTCCCGGACCTTCTGGAGGCGGCCAACACGAGTGGTAACGCGTCGCTACAGCTTGCGGACTTGTGGTGGGAACTGGGGCTGGAGTTGCCGGGCGGCGAGGCGCCAGGACATCCCCCGGGCGGCGGAGCAGAGAGCGCGGACATCGAGGCCCGAGTGCGGATCCTCATCAGCGTGGTGTACTGGGTGGTGTGCGCCCTGGGGTTGGCAGGCAACCTGCTGGTGCTCTACCTGATGAAGAACAAGCAGGGCTGGCGCAAGTCCTCTATCAACCTCTTCGTCACCAACCTGGCGCTGACGGACTTTCAGTTTGTGCTCACCCTGCCTTTCTGGGCAGTGGAGAACGCACTTGACTTCAAATGGCCCTTTGGCAAGGCCATGTGTAAGATCGTGTCCATGGTGACGTCCATGAACATGTACGCCAGCGTCTTCTTTCTCACTGCCATGAGTATGGCGCGCTACCACTCTGTGGCCTCGGCTCTGAAGAGCCACAGGACCCGAGGACACGGCCGGGACGACTGCTGCGGCCGGAGCCTGGGGAACAGCTGCTGCGTCTCGGCCAAGGCGCTGTGCGTGTGGATCTGGGCTTCATCCGCGCTGGCCTCTCTGCCCAGTGCCGTTTTCTCCACCACGGTCAAGGTGATGGGCGAAGAGCTGTGCCTGGTGCGCTTCCCGGACAAGTTTCTGGGCCGCGATAGGCAGTTCTGGCTGGGCCTCTACCATTCGCAAAAGGTGCTGCTGGGCTTCGTGCTGCCGCTGGCTATCATTAGCTTGTGCTACCTGCTGCTGGTGCGCTTCATCTCCGACCGCCGCGTGGCGGGGACTGAAAGAGCGACCTCAGTAGCTGGCGGAGGCCCGGCCGGAGCCAGTGCCCGGAGACGGTCGAAAGTCACCAAGTCAGTGACCTTCGTTGTCCTGTCCTTCTTCCTGTGTTGGCTGCCCAATCAGGCGCTCACCACCTGGAGCATCCTCATCAAGTTCAACGCGGTGCCCTTCAGCCAGGAGTATTTCCTGTGCCAGGTATACGCGTTCCCTGTGAGCGTGTGCCTGGCGCACTCCAACAGCTGCCTCAACCCCATCCTCTACTGCCTCGTGCGCCGCGAGTTCCGCAAAGCGCTCAAGAGCCTGCTGTGGCGCATCGCGTCTCCTTCACTCACCAGCATGCGCCCCTTCACTGCCACTACCAAGCCAGAGCCCGAGGATCAGGGGCTGCAGGCCCTGGCGCCGCTCCACGCGGCCGCGGAGCCGGACCTGCTCTACTACCCACCTGGCGTCGTGGTCTACAGCGGGGGCCGCTACGACCTGCTGCCCAGCAGCTCTGCCTACTGAGGTCCAGGGCGCGCTGTCGGGGCAAGGTGGCCTTCCCCCGGGCGGTGAAAGAGGTGAACAGATTAAGGAAGGCTGCGTGGGGGGGGGGGGGCGGCATTTAAGAGGTAGGTGGGAGGAGGATGAGCAGAGTACGGAGGAGCAGCCTGTGTATAGGCCGGAGAACCTTCTCTGGAGAAGGGATGCTTTGAAATCAGGTGGAGAGAGGAAACTGGCAAAGGGGCAGACACGAGCCCCACGGGCCGGACCTTCAACGTCGGTTCCGCACCCCACAGCCTCTTCTTACTCTGCCCACGCTGGGCAGTGTGGGGGCTCCCAGAAGCAGAGAAAAGCAGCAAAAATGCAGAAAAATTGGCACAGGGAGCAGGGCTTAGCCAAATGATGCGCAGACAGTTGTGCCCGTTTATTCCAGCGACTTCTGCGGAGAGGGCAGCCGCTACCACAAACTCTCCTTTACTGCTTGGCTAAGGAGACTGCAGCAGCGCCAAGGTCCTGCTTGCTGCCGGGCTGCCCCAGGAATCTTGAGTTGGGAGGCAAGAAACGTTTTTGGAGTTAAGAAAAATTACTGCCCCTTCTGGTCGGTCCCCAGGACAAACGGCAAAGGAAAATCACCTCCCATGGAGTCATTGTACCGATTGTCATTCCGGACTGGGCTATCAGGAACATGCTGAGCCGGACCTAGCTGCAAAGCCCGGAAGCGCAAACATTAACAGGGGGATAACACTTGTCAAGAGCTTGGGAGAGCGATTCTCTGGGGAGGGGCATCACTGCCGGAGGGAGCGGACACAGTGTGATTAGAAGGGCTGGATAAGGAAACTTCTTCAGACTGCTGCCGGGAAAGGTAAAAGGGGGCTCATATGCTCACTCGGTAGCGGAGTTGGAAGTGGCACGCTGGTGCGCTGGGCGCTGGAAGCCCTGGCGCTCCGTTTCCTCTGAGAGCACCTTGGGTGGCTGTAGGCACTCTGGTCTGTGTGCTGCCAGTGAGATGGGCCCAGGAGTATCCCGAAGAGCTCTACTGGGAGGAGTGGGGGCACTTCTGCACTTCCTCCCTTCCCATGCTTTGAGAATCAAGCTGTCCCTTTGACTGAGGCTCTGGACCTGCGAGTAGAGGGATGATTCAGTACTTTTTGTTTGTTTGTTTGTTTGTGTGTGTGTGTGTGTGTGTGTGTGTTCTTTTGTTTTGGGAGGGGTAGGCTTAGATAGAAGAGCAAGAAATGCCGCAGAAACGTGCAAGGGGAATGGCGGCGGAGGGGTGGCAGAGCGCGGAATCATGGAAACCAAATTCCTAGAAGCTGGGTCAGATCTTTCAAAAGGAAGTGTGGGGTAGGAAAAGAAAATAGAAGGTCCATGTACTCTGTCTTAAAGGGAGCAGAATATTGAAGAAAAACCAGAATTTCAGGTGTGGGCTTCTTTATTGCTTATATTATTGACAAGAGAAGGTAGGAAATAGAAATTCCCATCGGACAGTACCATCGCCAATTTCCCTTTATTCTAAAGAGTGCTTTAGAAGGTGAGCATGCATGGCAGATTCTTCCCCAGCCCCCAGACAGTTTATGGAGCTGTCTCTGAAGACACACAGTTCTCATGTCGATTCTGTTCTTATCACAGCAGTTTAGGGTGTTAAAACCCTCACAACGTCCTTTCTTGAGGCTCTTCCGAGAACTGGAATCAAACACCCGTCTACCCACCCATCTGCCGGCTTTTATAGAGGTACTACTGCTCTCTTTGGCAACCTAGTTTGGGGTCAGGAAATCAATGATGCAGGCACCCGCTGGGGTAGTTAATTTAATATAATAAACAGCCATTCATAAAACATGTCTGTTTAAAGAGCCCCTTGAGAATTGTTCAGTAATGTTGTTGAAAGTTTTCTGTAGTATCTGAGATTCAGGGCTCAAAATGTGAGATCTACAACTCCCACTTTCCTTGCTCTGCCTTCTGTGATTGTAAAACACAGTGCAGTGACTAAACACTCATGCCTTCCCACAAAAGCAAAAGTTGCCAGTCTCTATCCTGAGCAATCTTGAGAAGTCACCTCTTTTAGAAAACAGAATGGTGTGTTTGTTTTGACGTAGTCCATTATTTGTTTCACCCTTTGGGAAGAACATTTATTGATATTGATATTGAATAGCAATTGGGCTAACAAAGACTGAAATGAAGCTCCACAAAAGTTCCCCAAATGCAAAATCCATGAAAAAGTAAACACAGGAAAGAGCTAACAGGAGCATGGTAGCAGATCCATCTGTAACACTGATAATAGACTCCTACTGAGAAAGTCTTATCAAAGCACCTTGCCATTTCAATTTTAACAATAAAATAATGTTTGGGTAGCTCAGAATTTTTAGGAAAGGGTGTTGAAGTGTGTACATCTGTGACTATGGATGCTAGAAAAACAGAAAGAGAAGGAGCTGGAGTAATGGTCTTTAAAAAGAAAAAAAAAAAAAACCTTCTGTAAAAAGGGTCATTTTGTCCAAATCCCAAGCTCAGGGCTTCTGAGAACACAGCAGGAGGGATCAAAGATCATGACTTTGGTCTACCACAAGGACTAAGGGTCACCAAGGAAATGCTCAGATCAACTGTAATCAACAATTACTTTTTGAGCTCCTGTTGTGTGCCAACCCCTGTGTAGGGTACTGAGGTCCTGTACATGAATCAGAGAAATTTCTGACTTCCACATGTAAAAGGACAGACAGCCATAAGCACAAGCAAGATAAGACAGTTGAATGTCAAAATAAGGCTGAAAGAAAAACAAAGGAAGGAAAGGTTGATTCTGCTAGGAGATCAGACTTCCTGGCCAAAATAATATTTGAGATAGGCCTAGATATATGGGCACAATTTAGGCAGAATGGCAAGTGTGAGTTGGGAGGAAGAGAGAATATTCAAAGCTCATAAAATGTGGTAACTAAAATCTTTGATGCTGGAATGTCAGATGCTTGGTGGGGGAAGCAGGAAGCAAAGTAGTAGGGATTCTTTTTCTCCTGTACGATTTCCTAAGATTTCTGTTGAGAGTATGTGCTCTTGTACTAGCTTTATTTGTCTGGGGAAAGGAAATTTCTTTTGCCAGAAAGAATATGCCATTGCTATGCAGAGAACAAATACTTAGATACCCAAATATGGTGGAAGACTTTCAAATTTTGGTTATATATTTATTCATTCAAGCCTCAAGGGTGTTGAGTTCAATGAGTATTTGCATATTTGTGTGTGCGTGTATGCATGCAAGCACACACATGTACTCTGTGGTTAGTAAGGGATGACTACACTTGACTTCTTGGGGATTTAATAAGATGACCCTCAGCTATGGGCCACCTTTCCAGCTGGCCCGTCTATTCATTTCCAAATCTTCACACTCAAAACAGCTCTTGGAGAAATGGGCAGGAAATAAACACTGAACCCTGGAGAGGATTCCATTTCTAAACCTTTCAGAGATCAAGTACAGGTAAGGGAAGCAAGAGAGATGGCTTGTTGCTGTTTCTTTTCTAATGATAAGAGCTATGTGCCGTGAGGTCCTCTGAGCATTTACTCATCCTCATCCCACACAGTGGGGTTGGGAGCAGGTGTTTTCCCTAATGGCTTCTCTAAGTGAGTCATTAACTTATTTCTCCAGGATGGATGATGACAGTGGGCTGAGAGGGTGGAGTAGAGAAGGGGTAGCTTTGCATATGTTCAGTAAAAAGAATAAGATTATTTTATTTGGGAGTGAATGTACTAATAGAATACAGGAGGACCTGACTGGGAAGCAGAAAATGAGAAGCACTCATGTGGAGAGGAAGGGAGCAAGGCTTGGAGGGTGATGAGTAAAACAGCATGCTTCAGGCTTGAGAAGACAGCCTCGCTGGGTCTGGAAAACACCAGAGATTTGGGAGAATGGGGCACACTGCAGGAGTCTGGATATGGAAGCCACGTGTCCTGCAGGTGACGAGGTCTAGCACAGAGTGGGAAGAAGTGGCCAGTTTAGCATAAGCCCCTGCCCTCCATTGTTTCCCCTGACATATACACTAGAAGTGGCCCAATTCACGGGGACATTTCAGATGCCCTGCTCCACACCCCTAGCACTGTCTCAGTCACAGGTGCAAGAACCAAGTAGCAGCAGAGAGTGGACTCTTTAAAGACAAAGGAGGCAGTCATAGAATTGGAGCAACAAAGAGGAAGCCCAAACAGCAGCAGGAGGAAGAGAGTGGGTGTGAGATATCAGGGATGCCACTGCCTTTTGAGACCTTGGAGAAATTAGGAAAGAGAAGGAGGCTGCAGCACAGAATGACAACAAACGGCTCTGTGCTCCTAGGCTGGCTGACTTCAGTAGGTACTGCCCTTAGACCTGGGCAGCCAGGGCCCCTGGTCTGGGTGTCATCATTAGAGGACCCTGTTCTGCCTCTGCCCCTTTCCACATAGCAAGGAGTTCACACGGCCTCCTGGAGCCTGTGCCTCCCCCATCTTCCCACCTGCTAGATTATGCTTCCGTAGCTGAGACCTTGCATTCCTTGTCCAAATTGCCCTGAGTCTACGTACAAGGAATCCATGGGTCCTTTCTTGAGTCCATCCTCCAGAGCAAAGTCCATGCTGCTGAGTCTGTCCACCCTTAGGTGGTTAAGGGTGGCCATTTGTAGAAGTGATGAGGGTAGAGGCAGGTGGGATACCACAGATGTGGAGCAGAGAGAAGAGTGGGGGAAGCAGAGAAGAGGGATGGGCTGTGGACCACGTGCCTCCATTCATGCTCTTGTCCTGGACCCTGCAGATGTGAGCAGCTGTGTGAAGGAGGACCCAAAGCCCAGCAAAAAACAATCAGAGCAGGCCTGCTCTTCTCAGGAGGCTACAAATGAGCTGACACTGCAGGAGCCTGGCCATGCTATGGAATCCACTCATTCTCCTAGGCACTGGACACACAGAAGCAACACCCCAAATCCCAAATGTCCCAGTTCTAAGAAGCAGCTCGTTTCCCTTCTCCATATTCCCTTCCAGCTCACCAAAGATTTGGGCCAGTTACAAGTTGAACTGAGACAATAGCTACTCTACCAGACCCTAAATCAAGTAGGAAGAGGAACCACTCAATTCTTCTAACTTCTAAAAGCGTGGACAAATCTCTATTCTGCACTGGTCAGGCACATTCAGGGTTGGGTAGGCAAATACTTTAGACGAGGGCAGATCTAGTGGGGACAGGACAGTGAGTCTTTAACAGTAGTGACAATCGCTAGCTCCGATCAAATGCCAGACACCAGGCTAAGTGCTATCCATACAGAAAACAGCAGAACCAAAATGGCTGTGTTCAAAGCCCAGCTCCGTCACTTAAAAATTGTGTGGTTTCAGACAAGTTATATCTTTTGGCTTCCATTTCTTCATCTAAAAAAGGAGATTGGTAACAGCGCCCACTTCCACAATTGCTGTGTTAACGTTAAAACATTTAGAATAGTGGTAAGGACTCCATAAATATCATGGTTCGTGTTTTGTTGTTTGTTTGTTTGTTTTGAGACCAGAACTCGCATTGTCTCCCAGGGTGGAATGCAGTGACACCATCATAGCTCACTACAGCCTCGGTCACCCAGGCTCAAGCAATTCTCCTGCCTCAGCTTCTCCAACAGTTGAGACTACAGGCATGCACCACTATGCCTAGCTAATTTTTAAAATATTTTTTGTAGAGAGAGGGTCTCCCTATGTTTCCCGGGCTTTTCTTGAACTCCTGGACTCAAGTGCTGGTATTACAGGTATGAGCCACCATGCCTGAACCAATGTTGTGTATTATTAATCATCACAACTCTCTGAGATAGCAATTCTCATCACAAATGTATAAGTGAGCAAATGTGTCATTAGGGAGATTACATAGTTCGCTGCTGAGTGGCAAAGCCAGGATTCAAAACCAGCTTATTCCAAAACATGATTTTTATTAAATCATGCTGTCTCTCAAGGAGGCTGAAAACCTCACCATGGGAAAAGCAGTTGAAGGGGTATGGTTAAAGAAAAACTGCTTAGCTTGGAGAAGAGAAGATCATAGGAGAAACAGGGGGCTGTTTTTTCCAGAGACTTTCATATCAAATCCAGAGGACAAAACTAGGGTGCAGACTAGAGAGAAATATTTTTACTGTGTCTATGAAATGAGCTATTTTAAAGTGGTGAATCCTCCAGCATGAGATGTTCGAGTAGACTTGTCAGAGGTATCATAAAGTAATAGGAATTATGAGCAAATTAAATATGAATAAATTAATATCAGAGAAAAAAATTACTAGTAATATTTTGAATATTTGTGAATTTGATGAAATATATGACTCCCTGGCTGGGCGTGGTGGCTCACGCCTATAATGCCAACACTGGGAGGCCAAGTCAATCGGATCACCTGAGGTCAAGAGATCGAGACCAGCCTGGCCAACATGGAGAAACTCCATCTCTACTAAAAATACAAAATTAGCCAAGTTTGGTGCTGCACACCTGCAATCTCAGCTACTCAGGAGGCTGAGGCAGGAGAATCGCTCGAACCCAGGAAGCGGAGGTTGCAGTGAGCTGAGATCATGACATTGCACTCCAGCCTGGGCAAGAAAAGCGAAACTCCATCTGAACATATATATATATATGTATATACATGTTCATATATACATATATATGTATATACATATACATATACATATACATATACATATACATATACATATACATATACATATATATATATGACTCTCCAATATATATGGACCCCTGGCAAAAAATCAAATCAAATCACTTCATAGAACACATCCAAGCATTGTGTGTGGAATTAGTCTGCTTCTCAGGCCTCAGCAAGACCTGTAATGCCCTGTGGAAAGCAGCTCCTGCACCGAGATGCAATAAGGAAGGGGTGTGTAGGCGCTACCACCCACACTTACCCCCTGCCACCAATGCGTGGAGGCATACTCCAGGCAAAGGTTGCCTGAAATATGGGGACTGTTGTGCAGAGGATTGGTTGAAAGTGAGAGGTGGGCAGTTACCGTGGCTGAAATCACAATACTGAGCGTCCAGTGGACAGACCCTAAGAATCAGAGCTGCAACTTCCTGCCATGTGCTTCACTGTGTCCGAGATTAGGGTCATTGTCTCTTTATTGACCTAATCCACGTATCTAACAAAGAGAGCCACAAAGCAACAGCCTATCAGTGCCACCGCAGACGCTGTGATCACCACGATGACGACACTCCCAGCTGCGTTGACCAGAAAGCCCAGGCCACCTCCAACCAGGATCTGAGCCAGCTGCACCATGCAGGTGAGGGTGGCGCAGTCCACGCCCTTCCCTCTCACGCTGTTGTCTGGGTCCCCTCCTGGGACTTGCTGCCTCTGCAAAAAAATCACAGGAACACCATTTGACCCACAAGGAACCATCATTTAGGGCACAGGTTGGCAAACTTTTTCTGTGATCAGCCAGACAGTAAATACCATTGGCTTTGTGGATTATACAGCCCTGGTCATAACTACTCAACTCTGCCATTGTAGTGCAAAAGCAGGGGCAATGTGGAGCTGGGTTGGGATTCCAATATACATTGATGGACATTAGCATTTGAGTTCATGTAATTTTCATGAATTGACGATGTGGAACTGAACTGAATATTGATAGGCACCAGCATTTGATTTCATGTAATTTTCACTTGTCACAAAGTATTATGCTTCTTTTGAAATTGTTTTCAATTATTTAAACATTAAAAAGGAATTCTTAGCTCACGGACTCTACAAAAACAAGTACAAAAACAATACAATGTAGTGGACACTCAATAAATATCCCATTCTTTTTCTTTCTTAGTGTTAAAAATTCAAACATTTTAAGAAGGATGTTGAATTGCAGACGTACTTAAGAGAAGCAACTTTTAAAAGCATTTCAATCTTTCAAAATATGGTTGCCACTTGATCAACATAATAATATTTGGTTACTGTTGATATTTGGTCTGAACTGGTTGATAACTTTGCCATTTGTTGGCTATCTCTTATGTGCTGGGCCTGTACGCATTTTTTTACGTTACTTTATTTCAACCTCACCACCTCCCTAGATGCACATGTTATTATCATTACCTCCATGGTAACAATTATAATGCTAGCTATCATATTTTGAGTCTTCTTCAGGTGCTAGGTAGCACTATGCGAAGCACATCCATTACGTTGTTAACTTTTCTATAAGCTATATAACATTCTTTCCATTTGCGTCTTGAGGAAACTGAGGATCTGTGAGTTCAAATGATGATTTCCTACAGTATTAGGCCAAATAAAAAAAACATTTTGCTGAAAAATGCATATTATCCTTTGACTAAGAAAAAAATAAGAAAATAGATTTACATTTGCTTGGGTTTTATTTTAAAATTCTGGAGAGATTAACAAAAAACTAATAAGAGTGGTAACACATTGGGGTTGGAGGGAGATAGTAAATGTAAAAGGAGCACACAGTGTCCACTTTTGTATGTCATTGTGAATATATTATCTCACCTAAAATGAACTCATTCTAAGTGCTACCTAATAAACAAATAAATAACATCCCCAGTGTTACACAGCTTCCAAGTGGAAGAGGCAGGATTTGAATCCAGGTCTCTCTGAGTCTGAAGTGTAGGGTTTTTTTTTTTTTTTTTTTTTGCCTCAGTACCATGTAACACTCTCTTTGGAGGGACAGAGTTTCATGATGACTATCCCATTAACAGCAACATCCCTGTCATGCATTGAAACCTTGGTGACAATGTTTGCCAGGGGATGAGGACAGTCACGACTCTTGTGTGAAAGGTTTTCACTCCTGGTGCAGCTCTGCCCTGCTGCCAGATCAAATGATGAAAAAGATGGCCAGAATTATAGTCCCATGGGTATGTGTTTGGTGTTTTTGCAGTTTCATGCTGAGCTGGATTAAACTTATCTCTGTAGATTTTACATCATTGCTCCAGTTGAGGAACCGTATGCCTATTTTCACGGGAAGAAATTTGCAAGTGTTGATAAGAAGAGGTGGTAATTTTAGAGTGGAAGTACCAACTCTGTTATAAGCACTACTTAGACTCTTGTTCACTGTTGAGTTCCAAGATTTAAAGGGTGCACGTCCCATTCAAGGCAGCAAAGTGGGGATTGCCACCTATGATTCCAGCTTTCCTTCCTGCACATGGGATCTGGTCTGGACTCCCTTGCCTAGGACTTCCCTATCCTTGACAAATAACACCAAGAAATTCCACCATGCACCTCTGCAGCTTGGGAGTAGGGAACCCTTATTGTGCATATCCAGAAATGCTGCAGGTGTACCAGAGAGACCTATGAAACGGTTATAGAAGATCTGAGTCCTCCTTTTTGTCTCTGTGTAATTGTGGGCTGGTTTCTCAGGCTCACAGAACCTTCTTTTTCTAATCAGAAAAATGGGAGTAACACTCCTTGCCCTTCATCTCCCTAAGTATGCAGGGGTTGAGAGTAAGGAGGACAGGAGAGCTGGGCTGGGCTGGGCTTGGCTGGTGGGCACACCTGTACCAGATCATGGTTGCAGTTGGTTGGGCATTTTACTGCTGCTGTTTCAACAACCCTCTTTTCCAGTTCTGCTCTACACATTGCTACCAAATCCTTCCCCGCCTTCAGATGAGTCTGGATGTTATCCAAGGCAGAGTTTCAATGGCAACACACCTCCTTTTCTTCCTCTCGGTGGTACTCAGTAATGAGGTTAAAGGGCACGGTGTACAGGGTGCTGGACATTACACCAAATAGGCAGCACAGGACCAGGGTGGAGTAGACATTTGGGAAGAGCCCAATAAATCCTGTCCCCAGGCCAAACAGCAAATATCCTGTGAAGTAAAGCCCCTTTAATCCAATGTAGGATACCAAAACTTTCTGAAAGTCTGTGGGAAGAAGAGAGGGAGAAATTACAGCTGGCAGTGCCTCACAACATTTAATAATTTTAGACAATCCTTTCTTCTGAACATTCACTTTTTTAGACTTCCTTTGATACTGAGCCAGCAATAAGAGAATCCCCTTATCTGTGGGTTGAAAACAGCTGGCTTTTGGAACCATTTTTAAGACCTCTGCATAAAGGACAGATTGAAATTGCCTTGATAGTCTGATTTGTTTTTCTACAAAGAAGGGTCTGGCACTATTTAGCAGACAGCTGGATAGCCAAAAGGAGCAAGAGAGGTGGTGGAAAAGCGGACCTTAACTATGGGGCCGTGGGGCTACAAGAAAAGTGGGGGTTATTCTGAGTCAGGTGGACTGTGGCCCCATAGGACCAAAACAACAACACAGGCCTATCTTGGCCCTAGGACCCAAAGTCAGGTTGGAGAAAATGGAAACAACCAGAATTTACAGGATGATCTAAGTCATTCATGGTTTCTTAGTCCCCATCCGAATGGAGTCTGCACACCTGAGAAGGAGGTAAAGCATGTGCAGTTATCTGAAGACACTTTCCCCGCCTTGCCAATTCTTCCTAGGCTGGTAAGGAGCTCCCACAGCACCCACCACGTCCTCATCGCTGGTTCCCTAACTCTTGGTAAACAAGTTCCTTGACTTCTCAACACCCCAGCTTCGTCATCTGAGAACTGGGAATAATAAAACTCTCTTTTAGGGTGTTGCCAGGATCAAGTGAGATGAAGTGTCTATGAAATTACCCAGCCCAATGCCTAGCACGTAGAGAACATCCAATTAATGTGGCTAGTGCTATTGCAAAAAAGACAGCCTGAGCTGGAGATGGTTGTCTCTTAACTGGGTTCCTCTTCCAGCAGGTCAGCTTAGCTTGCTCATATTAGTATAGTGGTAGGGCTAACTTTTAAAAATAAAAAATTCTGCTTTAACCATTTTACAAGACTTTTCACAATGGCAAGAAAAAGTACTTAAAATTTTTTTATCTTCCTTTCTTAATCAGTTGTTTTTAATCCACACATTCCTCATCTTTCCCCTGCCCCATTCTCCTGGAACACATGAATCAGGGGGATAAATAACAGATACATGAAATGTGGCTATTCAAGAATGAAATTTTCCATGTCTATTAATATAATTATTGGACTTACACTTTGTAGACAAGCAACCTTATTTGTAGCACATTCTTATCAATTATGAAACTAAACACTGTCTCACATTGTCTGATGGAAGACAAAGCTCTGGAAATGAAAAGTGGGCAACATTGCTTTCTCTATTAGACTTATACCATGCCTGGAGGACTGTTGTTAAGGTTGAGAATTTTTAAAAAATGAGGGTAAGGCTATTATCAGTTTCTGTTTACTTAATAATTATGTTTATGCAGAAAATACAATCTAAGGTGCCTCAATACCTAAAAGATACTATCAATACCCATCAGGGAAATGCTCTTATCCAAGTGTGTATGTCAGCGGAGGAGAAGGTAAAGGAGTATTTGGAAACATAAGTAATTTCAGTACAGACTGAAAGTCTGACAAAGAATACTTTATTCACAAAAAGAATTCAACAAACTTCACGGCCAACCTTGCATTGCCCTCTAATGGGTCTGATATGCAGTGGTAGTCATATCCTCACACAATGCTTCTCTTCAGAACTGGAGGGAAATGTGATAGATTTCAGCACCAGCTATGACTAGTAGTGTATGATATTATGGTATGAACAATTGGCCATATCTTAGTACTCAGTGCTGTTATTCTAACTGGTATATGTGTACCCACTGTATACAAAAGGAGCTTGGAAACGAGTTCCTATCAGCATTCTCCACCTCAGCAGCCAGATTGTCCTGCCAACCTCCATGTGGGTAGAAACTCTGAATCTGCTCCTGATGTTATGTGATGAGTTCAAAATAGAGGGTAATATAGCGAGCTCCGGAAGTAAAGGAAATGATTGATTCTGCCCCGGTGGGTTGAGGGAATGAACCTAGGTTAAATATTACTTCCTCAATGAAATAATGTTTTCTTGAAAACTTGAATTTCATTGAGGAAGTAATATTTAAGCTGGGTCTATAAATGTTATTAGAAGTTGTATAGTGGGGAAGTAGAAAGAGCAGTTCAGGCAGAGAAACTAAAAGCAGCAGCAAATACACAGAGATGAGAACGTCTGCATAGTGGGTCATGGAGAGTAATTAATTGATATGGGAGTGAAAAAGGGCAAAGTATGAACTAGACCAAACTGTGAAAAGCTCAGAAACTTGACTTTATCCTATAGGCATGGAGAGCCCCTAAAATCCTTGAGCAGAGCTGGCTGGTATTTTATAAATAAAACGTTGATTGAATTCACAATGGTAGGGATCCCATAGATTTATACATTAATAAAACTTTGGAAAATTATTCAACTAATAATTTATTTTATAACTGGAAAGGCTTTTAATTAGAAGGGATCTAAAAATAACATGCATTAAAGTTTCAAATGCCATAAAATTTATGCAGACAAGACTGATTGAATGGTACCTAGTAGGGGTTTCTTGAGGAAAAAAAAGAAGTTTCGATAGACACATTTTTTTTCTTACAAAGATGAGGGTAGGGCTGGATGGAGTGCCTCACGCCTATAATCTCAGCACTCTGGGAGGATCACTTGAGCCCAGGAGATCAAGACCAGCCTGAGCAATGTAGGGAGACCCCATCCCATGAAAAAAATTTTAACAAGCCAGGCACAGTGGCATGTGCTTGTGGTCCCGGGTACTCAGGAGGCTGAAGCTTGCTTGAGCCCAGAAGGTTGAGGCTGCAGTGAACCATGATCACGCCACTGCACTCCAGCCCGGGTGGCAGAGTGAGACGTTGTCTTTGAAAAAAGAAGAAAAACAAAACAAAACAAAAAGAACGAGGGTAGTAGTAAATAGTCCTCTCAGCCCATGAAATCACAAAGGACTTAAGATGGATAATTTGCTAAACCCTTTTAGTCTAGCATTCTTTTATTCTATTTTAAGCGCTTGAAATCCTCCTGGAATTTTTTTTAATTCACACACTCCAAGAGGAAGAAAAGAGTTGGCTAAATAAATGTGAACTTTAAGCACCATTATATGAGTATCATAAATTTTAAAATAATGAATGTTGTGGTTATATGATTATTGGGCTCATGAACTTTTCCCACATTTATATGAGGTGCCCTTTTCCCAATTGTGCTCAATTTTTAAGCGATCTTGAGGCAGGTCTTCTGCTGTGCTATGGTAGGCGAAAGGAAGGGGAAGGGGCCCTCCCATACATCCACCCTTCCCCCACCCCCACAAGAAGCAGGCTGACAGTGACAGAGTGAATCCACCTGAGAATGGTAACAGGTATTCTCCCCAACTCTTTCCACTTCCTTCACCCGGGGCATACCCATGCTGTCCCTTAGACCTGTCCAAAGCCCAGAGCCCTCAGTTGAGTTCAGTTATTCTTACAATCTTGCAGAAGAAGAGCTCTTTATAATTAGGAGAACTGCATACATTTTTCGGGCCAGACTTTTCACTTAAATCTATGTATACAGAGCTTGGAGATATCCACACACAGGAGCAAGTACAGTGCAGCCTGTGCAACGCCCTGGAGTTGCAGCACAGCTGCCTGGACTTACTTAAATACAACAGCAGAAATTCCTTTTTTCAGTGTCTTCACAGCTGCAACCTAGTTAAGTAGAGGTTAAGAGGCTCAGAAAAGCTGACACCTGGGAAGAAAAGCCAACTGTCCCCAATCCTAGCATGGTGCTCCTATAACCTACCATGCTACACATCTGAGCTAAGGTCACTTTACATGCTGATTTTGTCACCTGTAATGTTAATATCCGTTCTTTTCTGCATCGTCTACAAATCTGATAAGTCTGTCTACGAAACGCCACCAATGACCTTGCTCCAGTAGAACATGAACCTGCTGGGACTTGTCCATCCAACCCTTCATCTTGTAAAGATTCCCTTTTATTTTCCAGAGAATCTTGATCAGGAACTCACTGATCCCAAATACAAAGTAATTGGTGAGAAAAATGACACCTAGAATTCATGATGAGAAAAGGATGCTTCATACAGTCCTTTCTAAAGTAATAGTTTTTCCTGATATCCATAGATTTATTAAGAATCCGATATTTTAAACAGTAGGAAATAAACATAGAAATATCAATTCCAAGTTGTGCTGGACCACAGCCCTTTAGAAGACATCCTTAGGAAAGGGAGAGACTTACAAGAATAAAGTGAGGAAAATATAGAGTTGATGCACAATCCCCAACATCCGACCTCGACTCCTCTTTGGTAGATAAGAAACTCCGTGGAGTTGTGTGCACTATAGGGATCCCCATGGTACACAATCTGAAAGAGAGGTTGGAAGGCTATTCAGGTACAAATACAATGACCTCTTCTGATGCACTCTGCTCCTCTACCCCTGGGGAGCAAACGTCCCTGCCTGAGGGACCCTTTCTAGAGTACAGAGCTTATGCTGTCATGACCAAGTCGCCCCTTTCATCCTACTACATCTCCATTCAAGGACCTGCCAGAAATCTAATGCCTGCTACATCGTCTAAATATCACTCTCCCAGATCCTTAACATCCCTTTTTCCAGCTCACAGCTGGCCCCACCTCACTCAGGCAATCCCACCACTCATCTTCTGGTACACCAATCAGCTTCTGACTCATCTCCACATGTGTCATTCCTGTTGCTGCTTGGAATGTTTCCACCCTCTCTAATATTCTCCTAACTCCTATTCACCCTTCAGGGTACAGACCATACTATATTCACTTTGTTGTATTTTATTTTTTAAGAGACAGGGTCTTGCTCTGTCACTCAGGATGGAGTACAGTGGCACAATCATAGCTCACTGCATCCTTGAACTCCTGGCCTCAAATGATTCTCCCACCTTGGCCTCCGAGAGCACTGAGATGATCCGCCATGGTCTACTATGCCCAGCCTGAACCCTGTACCTCCTTTTTGAAGCCTGCCATGATTGCTACAGCTCACACCAATTTGCCCTGCTTGTTATACTTTATTAAGTACTGGCAGGCTCCACTGTGTCCTCTGGTTGTCCAGGGTATAGTAGTGTGCTTCTTGATGGTACTCTTTCCTACATTCTGACTGTGCCAATCTTAGAGGATAGCCCAGAAGAACCTCAACAGGTGTTAATGGAGGAAATGATGTGTAAAAGTGAGGGTGTGCACAGATACATTCATTACCTGGCCCATGAAATCTGTGAAGAAGAGCATGTTGGACAGGAAGGCAGTCCATCCAATGAGGTGGCTGATGGAAAGGTAGCGGTAGTGGGGAGGCATGCTCATCAGTGCTCTCAGCAGTGACTTTAATGTCATTGACCTGTGAGTCTGAAATAAAACATGAAACACAGGTGTGACCTTCAATGCGGAAACTCAGCCAGCTAAGGGAACCAGAGCACATGGCCATGTTAGGTATTTGTCAGTCAGCCATCACACAAAGTGTCACTTTTCCTGGGCATGGAACTAGGTTTCCATGGAGTAGATTCACAGGAGGTATTCTGTTAAGCATGAGTGGCTGCTTAGAAGTTTCAGGCCCAGAATGAGGCCTTGGTAGCCAAGGGGAAAGGGAATGAGAATGGTGCTAGCTTCAGGCCAAGGTATAGGAGACATTGAGCATCCTATCTCTGAATGACAGAACTGTTGCACAAGGAGAAAGCTCACAGACATAAGCCAGCTCTTAATTAGAATTCTTGGGCCTCTTAACTGAGAGAGCATAGTAGGCAAATCCAAGATAGCTGTCATGATCTTGGTCCCCTGATGTTATCCTGTTCTGTTACATGGCAAAGGGACTTTGCAGCTATATTAATAATTAAGGTTAATAATCAGCTGACTTTGAGTTAATTGAAAGGGAGATTACCTGGGTGATTCTAACCAAATCCCATGAGCCCTTGAAAAGTACAGAATTTTCTCCAACTGATAGGGAGAAAGGGAAAGTCAGAGCAACTCAAAGCACAAGAAATGCCTGCTTTGAAGGTGGAGGAAGCTACATGAAAAGGATCTGAGGGTGACATTTAGGGGCTGAGAGCAACTCCAGGCCAACAGTCCACAGAAAGCAGGGACCTCAGTCCTACAACCAGAAGAACTGGATTCTGCCAACATCCTGAATGAGCTCAGAGACAGACTCTTCACACTGAGCTTCCTGATGAGAATACAGCTCTGCCAACACCTTGATGTCAGCCTTGTAAGACCCTGTGCTGAAAACTTGGTGCAACGCACCTGCTTCTGATCTACAGAACTGTGAGATAATAAACTGACGTTGTTTTAAGCTGCTAAGTTTGTGAATATTTTTTATTTATTAGAACATTAATATAGAGAGCCAGTCAGTTCCCTGCTCTTAGCCAGCTGTCTCCTCCCAGGTTATTTCTCTGGATTCTAATGATAGCAGACACATGTTAATGAGCCCTACATTGAGTTAGAAGTGAGAACAATGTAGAACTCAAATACATATATTTATACACCCACACACACACACACACACGCACACACACGAGGAGTCTTCAATATGTTAATGGAAAATACATATTATGAAAAAAATTATACATGGATTTCAAAAATTTTTTGAAGCAAAATAAACTCATACTAACTTGTTATAGCATGTCTGAAGAAGATTGAGTTTGAGGCACTAAGAAGAATAAGACATCAGTTTGAAAAGAGCCCTTAACAGAGCAACAGGAATTCTACTAAAATTGAAGCTAGACTAAATATCAAATTTATGGTGAAGCTTTGGTGGAAGAATGGTGACATCACTGATTTTTTTTAAGTTTATGTAGACAATGTCCCAAAGAAATCAGCAGTTTACAAATGGATAACTCATTTTAGGAAGGAATCAGATGGTGTTAAAGATGAAGCCTTCAGGGCAGATCATTCATATCAATTTGCAAAGAAAAAAGTTAGTCTTGTTTATGCACTAATTGAATAGGACTGACAATTAATGGCAAAAACAATAGACAACACCATAGACATTGCTGTTGTTTCAGATTACACAATTCTGACTGAAGAGTTAAGGTTTAGCAAACTTCCCACTTACTGGGTACCAAAAGTATTGTGCCCAGATCAACTGCAGACAAGCACAGAGCTTTCAATGAAAATTCTAAACATGTAGGATCAGGATACTGAAGCATTTCTTCAAAAAAATTGTAACTTGAGATGAAACATAGCTTTATCAGTACAATCCTGAAAACAAAGCACAATCAAAGCAATGGCTACTGAGAGAAATGTTCCAGTCAAAGCAAAAGCAGACAGGGCAAGGGAAAAGGCCATGACAACAGTTTTTGGGGGATGCTCAGGCATTTTACTTGTTGACTTTCTGGAAGGCCAAAGATCAATAATATCTACTTACTATAAGAATGTTTTGATAAAGTTAGTCAAAACTTTAGCAGAAAAACACCCACAAAAGCTTCACCAGAAAGTCTTTGGCCACCATAACAATTCTCCTTCTCTTTCCTCTCATTAAACAAGGGCAATGCTGTGAGAGTTTTGATGGAATGTCTTTAGGCATCCACCCTAGAGTCCTGATTTGCCTCCTTCTGACTTCTGTTTCCTAATCTTAAAAATATCTATAAAGGGCTCCCATGGTTTTTCAGTTAATAATGTAAAAAAGACTGCATTGACATGGCTAAATCTCCAGGACCCTCAGTTCTTTAGGATGTGATAAATGGCTGGTATTATTGCTTACAAAAGTGTCTTGAACTCAATGGAGCTTGTGTTAAGAAACAAAGTTTCTTCTTTTTAATTTTTATCTTTTCATTCTATTTTTCCATTAACTTTAGGAAAGCCCATCCCACACACATATATGTAAAAAATGAATATATAGGCCTCTTATTCTTTTAGATTTAAATTTGGTTAAAACTAGAGGCTACAGGTTTTTTTCTGGTTTCAGAAACACTGAGAGAATGAGAAACTTTAAACTATTGATGCAACTGTTTTGAAATACAAAGAATAATAACATTTAGCATCTTGTCATATAAGAGAAGAAAGAAATCTTGGGAATACTAAGCAGTCAGCTGCCCTGAAGACGCTGAGACCACAAACATCAGCCATGATGTGGTGATGAGTCTTTTCTTGTCACATTTTTATTTATTCTGAATTATGACATTGAGTACTAGTTTATAAGACAGTCAACTGAGATTTTCTATTCTAACTGTAACAGTATATTTTTTATACTTTGTAACCTTATATAATCATGCTTTTTACTTTTTTGTTGCGGAAAATTTTATTTACCCATTTTAGTTTTGTGGTGTAAGATGATTTTTTAAAAATTCATCAATCTTGTAGTATCTAGCCCACTGACCATAAACTGTACTCATTTTCTGATAATTGGTGTTAAACACTATAGACATTCCCCTGGACTGAAGAAAAATAACCGTTTTTCTGCAAGTAGAATATGGTACCTCTAAAAATAAATGATTATAACAGAAATGAAGTGCAGAATTACTACTGTTTCCTCAACTACAGAAAGAAGCAGCTAACAATATAACCCAAGAAAGCAACAGCCTGGTTTTCATGTCTCCAACTAAGTGATTTATCTTCACTTTCCTTCCTCTTTTCCAAAAATGCAAAATTGAGAAAGCGAATCTGGCCAACAAGTATTCAGCCTCATTCTAAATATTAATATATGCTTCTGACTTACACATAATTTTCAGCCAGCTTTCATTGTTAGACAACTTTCTCCTTTCTTCTAAAAATAAATATGAGCTTTTGAAATGTGCCTAGTATTTCTGTGAAAGCTGGGAGTGTAAATATTCAAAGCCTCTTTGTATATGTTAACTCAGAATAAAAATTCAGCTGGCATGTTTTTCCTGACTAATCAATTTCCTTGGTGAAACCCTTTCAATGGTTCCGAACCCCTGGGAATTGTTTTACTGCATTTATTTTGCACCACTGTAAGCTGGAGATTGAGTGGGATGAATTTACAAGAGAAAAAGGTACAGAGTCATCAGAGAGAGATGAAACTTCACAAACGTACCCTCAGAAGGAGACTGTAAACGTTAAAGGGAGCAACTGAGAGCATGGAGGCATTGGAGATAGATTTTATAAGATCTGGCTTAAACTCCTGAAACAATTCAGCCCCCTTGCCATTAAAAAGAAAACTCTGTTCTTAACTTATACAACACCTTTATTTTGGAAAGCAATGCCTTTGGCAAACAATGACAGCCCTGCAGCTGTGGTCCTAGCCCTGGAGAAGTATAGACTTCTTTTGCCTAACTGGAGACCTTCCAAGGTGCACATTTGGAAGAGAAGAGCGAATGCATGGCTTTGAGAGTAAGATGTATTACTCCATGCTTTATTCTTACTTCATCCTTTTGTCTTATTTTATTTGCTTATCTATTTATATTTTTAGAGATGGGGTCTCACTCTGTTGCCCCAACTAGCGTACAGTGGCATGATCACAGCTCACTGCAGCATCAAACTCCTGGGCTCATTGGATCCTCCCATCTCGGCCTCCTGAGTTGCTGGGACTACAGGAATGAGCCACTGCACTGGGCTCAATTTTGGTTTTTAAACCAAATAACGAAATCATTCAGAGCCTATAGAATTTAGTGTGTGGCCCCTAGTAAAAAGTTAGTTGTATCTTGTATTTGTTTTCTTACTCATGTGGAAGTTCCATACCTTTCAAACGGCTTCTACTCACTTGATTTCATTTGACTCTCAACAGCAGCCTGAGTGAATGAGACAACCTCTGTGTTGTGTGACTCTCGGAGAGGGAGTCCCAGTTTACTAAAGGGGACATCAAAGAGGCAGATAATCTACCAGGGTGTTATCTATTATCACTTAAGTGTTTATCTTTAGTAAAACCCCACCTTGCTTTGGTCCCTAAACCACCGCATTTTTTTATTCTCAATATTTGATTACTTTTTTTCCTTATTTTTTATCTGTTATAGAAATTTTGGATGTATTACAGGATTTAAAAATAGAAAATTATAGCTTCCTGTTAGCCTATTATCCAAACTTTTAATTTTTGGTATATTTCCTTTATTTTTTTCCTCTATGTATGCAGTTTTTCCCAAAAAGCAAAGATTGTTTTCCGTATGTATTGTACATTTTACCTGATATGTTTTTAGTAAATCTTCAAAAACATGTATTTTTTAATGACCGCATGAATTTTATCATATAGATATACCATGATTCTTGGGCTGCAATGCATAATTGCACAAAGGGCTCCAGTCCAACTAGTAATCTTAGAGTTCTGGTTTGTTGCTGAAGGAAGGGCAGGGAGTACAGGTATTCTCTCCGATGCAGCCTGGTGTAGGGAAATGAGGTTGAGTCCTGGCCTTAGGAGACCTAAATTCTCATATTTTCTCTATTTGTGTGATCGAGATAAAATGAAG